TCTTCTGTTCATTAAAGTGCAGAAAATGTGCAAGAGGCTGCAAAGAGGCTCAAAGTGCAATTGGAAAGTCAATAACAGTCCTGACATCCTCTCCCTCCATCAGTCAGGAGTCCTTCCAAAGTGCTAGCAATGTCGGCTGGCATAAAATCCTTTCCCAGAGCTGACTGCGGTGGTGCACCGTTACAATTCCCCTTTCTTTTGTAAAGATCAGTATTTGGGTGCAAGATTCACATAACACTTTAAAAGAACGGTGAGAGCAATGCCATTTTTAATATAGACATATTTTCACATGGGTGTTTTTGTAGGACGGGTGCTAATGTTGTTATTTCCACCTTTTCCCATGATTTACTTCTGAACACAGACTTGTGGCTTTCTGAGAAGTGCCTGGATCCTTGCAGTGACTTCCTGGCAGTGGACATACAGCACACCGATTGTGCTGAGGAGAAGATTATACATAGGGAGATTGAGTGACTTGCCCAAAGCCAGAAAATCTGTGTCACTTCTTAAATTACTGCAATCATCTTCAGTCCTCTTGGAAATGTGTTATTTTCCCTTCCCTTGGAAATGTGTGTAGAAGCATTACAACCTTATATCAGCTTTCCAGAGGTGAAATCACTGATCACTTATATCTGGCTAAAAGTGATGCACTTGCCAATGCTCAGAGTGGTTTCCTTACCAGTTTTGTTTGTTTTGCTGTGAAATTCCTGCCGCGAATGTTTGTGTCCTTGGAATTATTGGTTTTTCTTTACTACCTGAGATAAAGGACAATGAGACACTTTGATTTGAAAATCCGTAACACAGCTGGAGCCAGGAGGTTCCACCCCCCTTTCCACCCACCGCCACGCAAGCCAAGCACCAGGCTCTGCCAGCTCAGCAGAGCTGGTGTCACTCTTTCCAGTTCCGCAATGTGCAAACAGCCCGGTGACGTAGCGGGGTAACGCTGTTTGAACAGTCTCTTCAGTCAAGGATTTTTCCAAAATAAATTGGACAGGAATTAATGGATATGCATGTGAGTGTGATATCACATAGCGTGAGGGGAATAGAAAATGCAGTGTGTTATGGCAGGAAATGAGGCAGGAACATTTTCTCCACAAGTCTGGCTTGATGAGCTAGCAGGTAGTTGCAGAGGCAAAAGAGGACAGGCTTCTCTTTCACTTTGCAGGACGGATGGAGCTGGTCATGTCCTGGGAGTGAGCTGTGGAAGGAGAGAGATAAAGGGATGTCCCTGCTTTTTTTGCCTCACCTAAAAGATGTTATTTAACATTTATTACCTACTTAAAGTCTCCCTCTCCACCTTTCCTTTTGCCCCATACACTTGTAGGAGTCCTCTAACCCTGCTGCTGCTTTAGCCGTGGAGCAGTTCTCTCTGCCTGGGTGGGCAGACAGATGCCTCCTCCTGTGAAGCAAATGGAGTGTTTCATCCATCCGGCGCTGTGCAAAATTAAGGCCTTCCTCGCTTTTCTATCACTTAGTTTCATAATTTCCTGCAGATTGCTTCATGTCGTCAGATCTGTCTTTTCATCTGACAGCACCTTTCATGCCCTGCTTTCTCAAAATCCCCTGTGAAATTCACCCATTTTAAACAAATCACTCTTAAACAGTTTGCTACTGGAGGAAAGGACGTGTGAGTTATTTCTAGTAGAGTACTATCCCTTGTGGAGGCTCAAAGTGTGCGTTTCGTGTGTCATTTCCTAGGGCATGCTTTGAGAAGACCACCTGGGTTGAGGCCAGGCCCTTTCGCTCATCCCTGCATAGATGTGGACCATGGTGTTTCTTTGCAAGCTGGACTAGCAGTGATCTCTGGACATTGTGTCAAAGGGTGACAGGAATAACTTGTAGTTGATCTTGAAGATCTTCCTATTAATTCAAGGTTTCTTTGGGCTGTCTCTGTTGACCTGGGCCACTGGGGGGCTGGATTCTGGTAAGTCTTTCTAATGAGGCTGGTATATGAGAGCAAGGATATCTCTGAAACCTGGGGAAGAGGGGATGAAGGAGGAAGCTTCTTCAGCAAGGTGTGAAAGAGTGAGATCTCAAGGACTCTACTTCTCTAGGAGGACTCCTGGTAAGGGAGGCTGAATCGCTGCCTTGACGATAACTCTCTTCAGCAGGGAGTTGGTCTGTACTGTTTGGGGTGTGCCAGCAAGTAACAGCAAACACAGTAAGACAGGTTTCATTTCTCAGAGGGGGTTTCCTTCACACTGAATTACACCTTCCTACATACTCGCTCATGTGTGAATACTTCAACACTTGTGTAGGGCTCCTCTTCCAGAGGGCTCTGCCCTCGCGGCCTTCGCGGTGGCCGGGCTGAGCGGGTCACACAGAGCTGACGAGCATGGCAGTGGATGCTATTTGCCTTTTAGTCCTGGCCGGACACTGGGAGCAAAGGACTGGAGACTACAGTAGCGGTGACTGTGTTTGCCTGGGGCTCATGCTAAGCCCCTGTCGAGGCAAACGTCCCCAAAGTAGCTGTGTGCATGCATTCCTCTGGAGCCGGCTGCCCCCAGTGACATTTTCACGGGACAAGGTGAAATGCCTCAAGCCCCAAACTACTCTTCTTTCTGACGGCCACCTTCTGAATGGCCTCTGTTTGCAGAGCAATTCCAGTCAAATGGAAAACGTGACTTCTCCCAGTATACCTCACCGAAGTGACTGAAACCATTATCAGAAGGTTATCAAAATGCTTGAATCTGGAGTCAGCTTTGTGCTATATAAAGCAAACTAACATTTTGATAGAAGTGTTGGTGGGAATGAGGGTTAAAATAATTTAAAAGAGTTAATTTTCTGTTGCAAAAGGAAGGTTTTGGGGTTGGTTGGGTTATTTTTTACAATCTCAGAAAGTTTCAGGAGGAAGATTCTCTTTGAGCTGTTCAGCTCAGGTAGAGAAGGTAGAAGTTTTGCTTGGTGACATGCCAGCCAGCCTCTGTTTTCTTGCCAATACTGCACCAATCACTGCAATACGTAGAAAAATGCCCCCTCCATGACACCCCCAACCACGTGATGGGAGGGAACGCATGGCAACACTGTCATATAGGGAATATAATGAATTTCTTCACTTTGCCTGGAAGCAGCTCCCAGAAAAGCAATATTAAACAGTGATGTCTAAGGAGTGGTCCCGAAGGTGGCGGTGACTGCTGCAGCGCAGGCTGGAGTGGCTCGGGCGGGTTGCCTGATCTCCGCAGGAACCAGGAGGCTCCCGGGCTGCCCCACAACAGGGGACCGTGTCCTTGTACCTGTGTGTCACCGACACAGCAGGTCCCACACCTGGGCCCGCTGCTGGAGGGGGCCCACAATGACAGCAACTGGGAATGGCTGGTAGGAGAAGTGGAAACAGCACCTTTCCCCCCACTTGGCACGTACAGATTGTTGATGAACCGTTAATAACTCCTGTAATGTCACCAGGTGTAAAAGGAAGGGCTACTGAATAACCCAGTGTGTTTTAGTGGCTACACTGATATCTCTCTAGATAATATTTTACTTCTCGTTTTAAGTTTTTGCTGTCCTTGCATGATGTTTTACTGGAATAAACTGTTCTCTCCAGCGCAGAAAGTGTTCAGGGAAGGACACATAAGAAATTATGGGAAGCAAGTTACTAAAAATTCTTTAATTTTCACTTCCCAGAAACCCTGAGCCCTCACACTGACCTGTGCTATATGTCACTGATGCATCAGCCCATCCAAAATATGCACTTCAGACAGAAATAGGTTCTTGTGAAATGTGTGTGAGACATCACTGAGGACTGAAGTCCTCAGCTCCTCTGTGAAGCCAACCCAGGGGTGCAGCAGCCGTGAAATTTTCTTTTCCCTTTGCTGCCAATGTGCCTTGGCTCTGACCCATAGAAACCTCTTCAAAAGGAGTACAATTCAGGTCACGACTTGGCAAGCCCTTCACTGCATCAGGACTTTGGTTTCCAGTTTTACTCTGGGCAAAACTTAACCTTTCTGTGTAGATGTGCAGCCGTCCGGTACAGGGTTGTTGGGCAAAAATAGGCAATATGGCATTTTCTTGAAATCTTGGTTCCCCTTGACAAGCAGATCTCTCTCTGTGGTTTTCTCTTTCCCCTGCCGAGATCATCACCCTGTGCTGGTTGTAAATTAGGAAGAAAAAATTAGGTGCTGGACCAGTCTCCTGGCAAAATCACCTCCCATCTCCCCTGCAGAGCAAAATGCTGGAGTTTGGGCAGCAGCAATAGTGATTCCTGCTCTGCCGCTGAACTCAGTAAGGAGCTGACATTGGAAAGGGGTTTGGGAGACTGAGCAAGGAGTGAAGGAACAGAGCTCCTCCAGGGGCTGGGGAAACTACCCTGTGGTCTGAAAGAGTAGCAAACGCTTTGCATGTGGTTGGAGTAATTTCTGGCCTTCACCACATGTATACACTATGAGCAGGTAATAATCTATGGGGATCTGGGTAGAGGTTTCGGGTGAGCTGTGTCGGTTAGGAAAGCCAAGGAAAATTCCTTGGGAAGGGCACAAGGAATTTTCCTTGATGGGAAAGGGGTCTGCTCCATCAGATGGAGGAAGGGTACGCTGGGCTGGGCTCATACACAGCCACCTCTGCCACTTCTCCATGGCGCAGGGCAAGAGCGTCCTCTGGCAAACAAGTGCGCAAGGCTGTCTTCTGGGGTTAATAAGTACAACGGGGAATGGCCCCTTCACAGCCAGCGTTACCCTGCAAGGCACCACCCCTTCTGGTTTTCCAAGCACAAAGGCACTGGGAACAGCGGCTCTGGCGCAGCGTTGCAGGGCTTCGCGGGATTACTTATTCACTGTGTTCCTGGAACAGCTCCAGGCTTCCCGTCTCTGCCTCCAGTGTACAAATTCATCAAGTATTCACAAGGCTCACAATCCCCAGAGGCAAGAGGAGACAGTAGGAAGGTGATTCGTATTGCAAATCACGCTGTCTTCGAAGGACCTGCGGGGCTCTGGAAAGACCAAAACGATATCCTCCCTTCTTCTACCTCGCTAACGTTTAATCAGGGTAATTGAGGCAGCAGACCAGTCTGGATGGATTTCGTTGCCGGGGCCATTGGAGGTAAATACACAAACTAGTGCTTGTTGATGAAAGCAGATTGCTGTGTTTCCTTCTTGTTCAGCTAACGGGAAGGTCTCAATGGTAAAGCTGAGAGTCTTTCAATGGGGGCTGCTTGTTAAAAGTGCATTCATCTTTATTCAGTGGAAAATGTCATCAGAGCAGGCTCACAGAGTTACTGGAGAGGCAGCACTGCAATTTGGTCAGCTGAGGTCATTGCCCTGCAATCTCCTCCAGTCTAATTGCAGTGCGACAGGGCAAAACTCTGATAGGAAGAGACAAAGTGGAATATGTTGTGTGCAGATACAAACCGGCGAGTAATGCCCGGACAGCAAAACCTCACAGGTCTGGTCCCTGGGAGTCCTGGCAGGCTATCGGGGTCGTGGGTCTTGGGGGGTTGAGGATGTGGTTTGTGAGACAGGAGGGTGGAGGCATGGTTTTTCACAGCGAAGAAGCTCTGAATGAATGACCTTTACATTATCTTAGGTTAATATGTACTTGCAGTTGTGACGGTAATTTCAGTGCAGGCGTGCTACGTAGCAGACTTTGGTCTGGGAGAAAGTAGGTTAGCCATATATAAAAAAAGTAAAAGGAGAAAAGTGTGATTTCATTCTAGGTAATTTTAGAGCATGTACTGCTCAAACCCAGCTTTGTTTTAAACAACAAAATGTAGCCACTGGTCTTGTTTCTTTTCTGAAATCTCGCCAGGTTTAGTGGAATGTCAAATACCAAGAGAGAGCCTTGGGGTCGCAGCTGCCAGAAATGCCAGGTGAACCTGCCAGATGGCTGAGACGCCCCTCCCAAGCCTGCATGTCAGATCTCACTTTAAGATCTGCTGAAATTTGGCAGTTTCCCTCACCAGGAGCAGCCTGTGGTCCCGGTGCAGGTGTGCATTTCTTGGGAAGGACCATCATGAGTTTTACCCTGCTCATCACCCAAAATGTGCAAATGGGGCAAGGTTTGGCATCTCAACAGCACCCAGCCCCGGAGGTGCCTGTTGCTTGGGGTGTTGGCCTTCCCCAGGGTGCTGGGGGACCCTGCTCAGGAAAGACCCTTCATGGGAGAGGGGGATATAACCAACCCCTCCACAACAGCTTGCCTTTATCCTCTTCTTTCCTTGCCAACGTTAAAGTACTCAGGTACTTCGGTGGCTGTGCTGAGGCTGGCAACAGGATGCTCATCCCAGAAGGATTCACCAAACCCCCCAAGACATCCCATAAATGACTGGCCTCAGCTCAGCAGGGCAGCGATGCTTGCATTCACTGCTTGGACTCCTTTGCTTTTGTTGGCACAGTTGTGGTTGAGCCACTTAAGGATAAACTTCTCTTGCAAAGGAACGTGCATAGTTGAAAACACTAGTTTCAAAGTGGCCATTCACCTCGGCATTCTGCCACCGCTCCTGTGTCAGGCCATGATTTGTGTGAAGCCTCCCTGTCTGGGCACCAGCATCACGTGCCGCCCGGCCATGCAGCAAGCACCTCCCATGGGTGCCCTGGAAATGGGCTCAGCCTGGGAGGATGCAGGCCAGGGAGCTCCAGCTGGGATCAGAAATGTTTTTGCTTGTTTTAACGCACTTCACTGACCCCAGGACGTCAGAGAGCAAGATTTTCCATTTTGTCACCTGTGTCCAGCTTGGGGCTTTTCTAAGAGGGATGATACACTTTTTACTGCCAGACAGGAGTGTCTTCTGGCATGCTGTTCCCTGCTGCGAGCTTGCACAGACATGGGCGAGGTACCTGGGCAGGGCTTCAGGGCCACGCTCCCTACCCCGACATGGAACAGCTTCCAGGGAAGGGACAGCTTTCCTGCAAGAACTGGGATGGTTTTGGTGCTGAACTTATTTCATGGCTTGTGTTTGTTAGAGCTGAAGCTGTTTTCCTATTCGCATGGAGGCTACAAACCCAGCTGAAGTGTATCAAACAACTCAAAAGACAACACAGATAATAACAGAGTTTTTGTTTAGGAAATTACATTCTTGTGACCTTGATCTGTTTTCAGAGTGTTTTGGAGAAAGAATGGCTTAAGCACCTCTGGAAAACAGCAGAGGTGCTGCCCTTTTGAATCCCATGTAATGATCCAGCCTGGCTCAGGCACCTGCACAAATATTGTGCATCTCCTCTGAGCTATTGCTTCTGCAGCCATGGGACAAGCTCAGCATCTTCAGCCCAGAAAACAGTGACCTGCTGTGACTCCAGACAGAAAGAATGTGAGAGAAACATGCTTAGTGACTGTGGAGACTTTCAATAACCACCAAATGGGGCTGAATGTTGTAGAAAGCAGCTCATCTGTAAGGATGTCCTCCCTGGCCAATAAAGCTGAGCAGGAGGTTGGACTAGAGAGCTCCCAGGGTCCCCTCCAACTTGAATTTTCCTATGATCCCATATGTGTTTTCTAGCCCTGCTACGGCAGCAGCCTGGGCCATGGCAGGGGATGGGTATTGATGATCAGGGCTATTGATGACTAGGGGATGACTTGATTCTTATGCCAGGCATAAAGATTTGGGAAGGGGGAGTTGAGGTTGACCCAACAGCAGTAGAGCAGCAGGGTCTGTAGCATGCCCGGGCTTCTCCACATCTTGCTGCAAGGTCACACACCAGTCACATGCGGTCCAAGGGTAGATAAAATAGTCCACCTACGGAGGGAACATGCTGTCTCCTCGTCCTTACAGCTAAAGCAGCTCTTGCTGGTCACTGCCAAGGTCGTGTTACTGGATGGAGTTCAGCTTGTTTAGGGTACGGGGCACTTCTTATGTTCCCAACTCTTCACAAAACAAAGGTCTTTCTTTGGAAGTTGCTCTCTACCCATCCAGCATATGGACCATGATGCCTGCTTCTCCCTGGGTTTTTCAGCCAGGGGGTTGCCAACAGCTCAGAGCTGTTGCAGCCTGGTGGGCTCCGTAGGGCTGCTGCTTGCTCTCTCCTGATTGCTGTTGTGGTGGCCACCCTGCCAGGATCCCTCCTCATTTGAATTGCCTGGTCGAAGTGGCCTGGCTCATGAAGAGACTGTGCGTAACCCAGTTTTGTCCCTGCACAATATGTGTGTGGGATGCTGCAACCTCTGAACAATACCTGAGAACATCTCAGATAAAGTAGGCATAAAAAAATGGCTCACTAAACCCAACAAAGACTATTCACCTGATTTTGCTATTTGTTTTTGTCACAGCTGCTACAGTGTTACTGGGAGGGAGTCCCACAGGAACCAACTCCCGTATGCATGCTATGCATTGCTGGCCTTGTTCAATTCTGCTGTGCAAACAGGGCATGTGTGGGTCATGCTATCTTTGTCCCAGGCTATTTATATCGCATGACGTTGTGCAAAGCCCTTCTCCCTCAGCCTTCGATAGACTTGGCTGAGCTCTTCAGCTCTGACAACTTAACTGCTCGGAGTGATTTGGCTTTTAAGGAGCGCAGTTCATGGCAGGCTGTGGTTGTTTGGAGATTTGGGGGGCTCACATCTCCACTTTGGTGGGAGCAGTGAAAAATTTACCTTTATGGTCTCCTCCCAAATGGAGATGTTTGGTCCTTGCTGGAACCAAGCTGAGTGGGGAGCCCTTGGGACTGAGAAGCAATGGGAAACAGGCTGGTTTGGGGCAAACCTGCTTTATTTTGTTTATGTTGCTGCTGTCTCCAGAAGGGAGGATGCTTCTTGTCAAACACTGACCCAAATCAGCCTTGGTCCCTGATGTGCATGAGCCAAGGCTCCTACCTTCCTGAACTGGTGGAGCAAGCCAGGGCTTAGCTGTGCAAGGCACACGGTGCCCCTGCATCGCTGGCGTCTGGTCAGCCCATGGCTGCTTAATCTAAAGTTCAGGAAGTCTGAAACCCATGCGATGCCAAATCCTCCCGCCTGGAACAGGGCGCTTGGGCCAGGGGACTGCACCTCTGAGGTCAGCACTGTCATGCCAACACTGAGTTATGTGCTGCTCTCCCCTGGCTGGCGGGGTTCGTGTTTGCAGTCTGCCTCTGGCCAATGGTCGGGAATCTGCCACAGCGTAGGTGGCCCCGGGTGACTCTGCATTGTCACTCTGCTCGGACCAGAGGTGTTGCTCTCAAGCCATATTACTCTGGTTGTGTTTTCCCCCTCGCTGTCTCACTTCCAGCCTGATCTCATTTTGGTTTCGAAATACAGAAGGTGGCTTCTTGGCCCATTTTTCATTTTCATTGCTAGTTATCTGGTGGCAGATTTGATAGAGATTTTTGAAGAACAAACCTCATTTTTCTGCAAGCAAGATGCTGTTGGTTGTTTTCTTCAGAGTAAGGCACTTCGGGATTGTCTCCTAGTGACTCACACCAGCAGCTGCTGCTTTTTTCCAAAACACCGTAGAGCTTTCCAGAGCTCCCAAGCAGACGTGTAATCACAGGTGAACACGCCTAGTGAAATGCCCGCAGCAGCTGAAACATTTTTAAGTATCTTGGGTTTTATTTTTTTTAAAGAAGGACTCAATGAGAGGCCTTTTCCAACCTGTGAGCCACCAGACATGCACTGTATCTATGACTGCCTGGCCCCCTGAAGGGCTCATACAGCACTTTTCTGAACTTGATTTCTGTCTAAATAACTCACATGGCTACAGCTCCATCGTCCCCCAGCCTGGTTTCCTCTCAGATGACTTGGCAGTTGATGTACTGGGAAGGAGTTAGCTGGTCAGCGCTTCTATCGTGTTGTATCTGCCAACAGATGCATTTAGATCAGAGCTGAGAAATGCAGCGAGGTAAAAGGGCAGGGATGGTGGGTGATCTATTTGTTACTGCCACCGGGAGAAGTCCATGTTGGAGCTCTTTTGCTCTCCTTATCTGCCATTAAGGCAGTAACTTTGTGTCGCGGTCAAAACATAGCACTGTACCAGCTACTAGGAAGACAGTTAACTCTATCCCAGCTGAAACCAGGACACTTCGTCTCGCAGGATTACTGCATTTCTAACTCCAGTGGCTATTTGAAGGTCTCACAATGAGCCTGGGTGTCGATAGAGGGTTGACAAGCTCCCCAGCAGGCTGGACACCTCACTCCCGCAGGCAGGGAGTCGCGGTGAGCTGGTGCGCGGGGCGTGCTGCTGAGCATGCCGGCTTGGCGCGCGCCCGGCACTAATCCCTCGCTGCCCCTGAATCCTGCCGAGCCCCGAGCGGCGGAGGGCGGGTGGTCTCACCGCAGAGCAGCGTGCCGGTTGTGCTGCGCCCCGGCGTCACACCGGCCTGCCGGGGCTCCAGGCAACCTTTGCTTTTGGTTCTGGCTCTGCTTTTGCAGCAGTGTTCGGTGCACGTAGGAGATGCGCTTCAGAGGCCGAGTCCAGCATGGTGCCACGGACCCTAATGCCCAACAGATTCCTCACCCGGGGCGTTAGATGTGCTCTGTAAGGTGCAGCACGTGTCCAGTCCCTGGTGTGCAGGAGGCAGCAGCAGGACCTCTCCTGCCTTCAAGAAGGAAGACAGATTGCTGAGAACCTGTAATGCTGAGGACCACCCTTCTTTTATAGATGTCTTCATGACTGCTGCTTTTATTCCTTAATATCTCCAAGTCAAGTGTGGAGAACCAAAACTGCTCCAGAGACCCCCTCGTGTGAGTGGGGATGCTTTGCACTTCACGCGAGGGTGCTTGGTCACAGTCCAAAGATGCTTTACCGTCTAAGCTGAGAGGGGGAACAGAAACAGTCCAATATCATACAAGTCATCTCTCCAACCTTCCTGCAGCAGTGCTTTCTGTGTTTCCCCCAGTCTCGGTTTGCACCGTGGTGTTATTCCTCCTGATAAGCTTCCTGTGATGCTCAGATTCCTCCTCTGAGTGTGCCTTGGTCACACAGAGAAGTCTGTGCATTTTGCTCTGTTATTCTTGGCTCAAACATTGTCTCTGGAGCTCAAGAGAGGTCTGGTGCCAAGCACGGCAGCGCTCTGAAGCTGCATTTTTCTGCCTTCCTGCCATGGGGGAAAATGGTCTGTTGTGACGTGCATTGTTAACCATCTCAATACACTCTCTGTTTCAGGTGGTCTAAGCACAGCAGTGGGTTATCCGCTGGACACAGTGAAGGTACCTACCTGTTGGAGCTTTATTTCTTGACTATGGGCTGAAAACAAACAGGCCCTTTTGCTTTCCTCCTCCCTTTTAGAAAACTAGTCCCATGGCAATGCTTTCATCTTTGTTACATCAACATATTTCACTTTATTTGGCTGTGTTGTTTTTCTCTTTTTTAAAAAAAAAAAGTAAATTGTTTGGTGATGCTATTTAATGGCTAATTATCTGGTTTGCTGCTATGGCATTTGTTGATTTTTTAAAATTTTTTAAAAAAATTGATATCTGCATTTCAAAGTTGCCCCTGTATTCCTAGGTGAGAATTCAGACTGAGAGGCATTACAGTGGGATTTGGCACTGCATTCAGGAAACATACAGGACAGAAAAAGTAAGTACCTCTCATCAGAATTGCTGATACCAGGTACGGATGACTTGTTTCAGAGAAGCAGAGCTTCCTCTGTCAGTTTGGGGAGGACAGGCAGCAGTTACGTACAACCATTTGTTGGGAGAAGGGTCAGGATGAAATCTGGCTTTGCCGATGAGCTGTAAGATGGGAGTAAGTTTTGGCTCAGCAATGTATGGCTGGGTTTTTGGGCAGATGCTTTCCCATGCCATTCTCTCTTAAAAGTGTTCTTTTTCCTGTTTCCAACTAGGTTTGGGGATTTTACAAAGGTGTGTCTGCATCAGTTCTCACAGTATCGGTGATTTCTTCTGTTTCATTTGGCACATACAAAAACTTCCTTTGTACCATCTGCAAGCTGCGATACGGGGCTGCAGATGCGAAGCCATCCAAGCTGGATGTTTCTCTTGCCGGAGGTGCTGCCGGTGCTGTCCGGGTAGGTAAACAGCTGAAAGGGAAAGCAAAACAAGAGATCTTGTTCACAAACTTAGGAGGCTGGAAAAGCAGTGAACGTTTTCTGTCCGGGAGGCCACAGGGAGCCTGCAACAAGCACCGTGGGTTTGTTTGCGCAGGGGGTCACGCTCTGCCCACGCTGGCCCCCCGCTGGCTGGCCCCGTGCCGTGGCCAAGTCCTGCTGGGCAGCTCATGCCGGATTTGGTTTAGAGTGCCAAAACACTTAAGAACACGCTATTAAGAATGACATGGACCTTGGCAGAAAAAAGGAAGAAAAACACCCTGGGCAGCAAACTTTCCAAGTGACTCTGATGGTATATTTATGTAAGAAAGATGTAACTCAGCGTGTTAAAGCACAGGCCGGTGTTTTGACAGTGGCTGCACAAGCCCGGCACAGTATTGCTGTAAAAACGGGCAGGAGACAGCATTGCCTTGTCAGGATGCAAAACTCAATGGGGCATCACCGAGAAGTGATGCTGCCTGGCAAACATGCATGATCCCAGGGCAGGGAGGTGAGGCTGAATCCAGGAGCAGTTTCCCATAAGCAGATGGATTTCTGTGAGCGTCTGCAGGAGCTGTGAATGCGGCGGAGCTCACCCCGGCACCCCGATGGTGTGCTGGGCAGAAATGCATGCCGGGTCTCAGGAAATCCTCTTACAGAGCAGTCCAGATGGTCGGGTTTCTAGGTGTTCCCTAGCAGGCAACGACTCTACTTAACACAGGCTAATTTTTTTCAAGTCTTTATGGCCTTGGTTCCAAATACAGATACATACAAGAGCCCTGATGTATGCTACCCTATAGCTGAGGACATCCCCCTTTCATGCCCATCTAGTTTATCAAGTTGTTACAGCTGTTTCATATCCTCTGTTGATTTCTGCCTCGACTTCCACTCTGCACAGCGCAGCTTGCACACGTGTCCTGCTGCTGCTGGGTGGGATTTAGCACAGACAGAGGGGAGGAGGCTGGAACTTGCCGGTTTCAGATAATATTGTTGCCTGAAGAGGTGGGAGACAAGGAATTTGCAGGAGAGGGATCAAAACACTGTTTAAATATGAAGGGTTAAAATACCATCCTCTGATGTTACAGGTTGTGTTGATGACCCCTAGTGAAGTGGCTAAGGTTCGCATGCAGACTCAGAGGAACCCACATCCTTCCGTCGCATCTCCCCAGCCTGTTTCCAAGCCAAAGTACCGAGGGTCTCTGCACTGTCTGAAGGTGATCGCCAAGGAAGAAGGTTTTGGGGGTCTCTACAAGGGCTGCTCTGCATTACTTTGCAGAGATTGCTCTTCTTCTGCAATATATTTCCTTACCTATTCTGCTTTGTGTGACTGGTTCACACCAGCTGGGAAAAATAAACCAGGTAGGTATCGGAAAGCATCTGACGTTACCTGCAAAACCAGCTCATTTAGTACCACGCTAAGAGGTAAATCAGGCTCTCAGCAAACATCGCCCAGTACCTATAAAACCTCACCCAGACTCAGTCCTCGCGTGGTGTTGCTGTTCGTTTCCTTCCTGGCACCACGGGGCCATTTGTGCCCTCCCGGCGCGGGTGCCAACAGCCCGTGTGCGAGGGCTTCGGCGGCACGACCTTGTCCCTCAGCAGCTACTCCTCTCCCTGTGTGAGGGGTGTTTACGGCACGCTCTGGTGCCTAGTATGTGGGTATGAACTCCTCTTCATGCAGAAATAGGGTATGTAGCTAGAAATGGAACATGGACAAACCTCCCAGGAGCCATCACGGAGCACAGATCAGGGTCAGTCCAGAGCTTGAAAAGAAAGTCCAGGTGCAGAATGTAAAGACCCTGAAGTTTCCTGGTTATGATTTGGCTCCCCAAACCAACTATTCACTTCGAGAAAAGATCAAAGAGATGACATTCAGCAAAGAGCATCTTAGTGAGAATTGCAAAGATAAGTGGGGTATAAGTGCTCTCAGGATGCATCACATCTAGTTCGTGCGGTGTTAAAATAGATGCTGTCCCTCCACGAGCCAGTCTCATGTATTCAAAAATTGAGTATGCTGTGAAATTGAGAGGCCGCACAGTTTGTGTGAGATCACTGGAAACATACAACTGCAAGAGCTGGACAAAATAACTGCTGAAAAACATGGAAGTTAACAACGTTAGCTCAGAAATCAGAGATGCTTGTGGCTGTATGAGTGCAAGGCTCAGGTTAACTGCTCCTCCCTTCACTCTCTCCTGCAGGTTTCCTCGTTGTGCTGCTTTCTGGTGGTTTCGCTGGAGTCCTGGCCTGGGGATTAGCTACTCCCATGGATGTCATCAAATCACGAATGCAAACAGATGAATCAGACCAGCACAAGTACAAAGGCCTTGTCCACTGTGCTAGGGAAAGTGTGAGAAAGGAGGGTGCAAAAGTGCTTTTCAAAGGACTGGGTTTAAACTGCATTCGTGCCTTTCCTGTGAACATGGTGGTGTTTGTAACGTATGAAGCTGTACTGAGATTTACAGATCATTATACAAACAAAAAATAGCTTGTGCCATTCTGTTCAGAGGCATATTTTGTTTCATTTGGTTTTTTGTAACACAACATCCACAAACAACTGCTGAACACTCCTTTGACGGACAGAGTAAGAAGCATGGACATTTCAGCACAAAGCTGGATGACTGACAGCTTTGTTTTATTCTTATAGGATTACAAACTCATCAGGGAGTCTTGGACTTACATACAACTCCCTTTTATCTTGTTAATGTATTTAGACTGTAGCCACTGCTTAGGCCCTTGAAACATTTGCAAATAATTATGTTCTAAAAAGCTGCTAGTCTGATCGGAGATTTTGGTAAAGGATTCATTTTGTTTTCTACTGGCATAGAAAGCGATCTTCACAATGAAGGCAAGAGCTGGGAGGGAGTTTGTGTAAGATCTAACACTATCCAGTGTGTGCTCTTTACATGCAATGCTCGTATTGCATTCACTGAGTAACTTACATATTTGTGCTTCAGGCTGCAACTTTTCCTTCCCTGCTGTCATTTTCCCAAAGTAGTCTACAATTATATCCCTTTGGTAGCAGCTTTTCCTGTCCTTATTTAATAAGTGGCAGACATGGTCTGTTTATATAATCGTGCTAATGGCCTCATTGAAAGTGAAACCAGGCAGAGGTTCCTGTAAACCATGTGATTTTCTCCCTGTGCCGCTCTGAGCATTACAGCATCAGTCCCTTGCTGGAGGCTGATGGCACCGCGGCTCTCCCGAGCTTGGCACAGCTTTGCAGGCAATCTGTTCTCATCCTGGAATGAGGGTAGAAATAGATGCAAACCCTCTTTGCTTCTCAGATGAAAGGCTGCCATAAAATCTGTGCACGGGGGGGGGGGGGAACGGGGGGGGACGCGGATCAGGCAAGTTAAAGGAGAATTGCAGAGTTGTAGAGTATAATAAAGATTTACAGCTTTTTAAAAGCATATACTCTTCTCCCTTTAAACTACGCTGTTAGGAGCAGCCAAATGTTTTATTGTCAAAGGTACCTTTTGAAAGAATTTCTGACTTTCCTAACAATTATTTCTTTTTCACAATGGTAAAGTTTCATCAACATGTCAGTTGAAAAAAACAACACCCACACTATTGCTTCTGAAGGAAAACCCCTAAGCCCAGAAATACTTTAATTTGCTCATCCCACTTCAGGAGCGGCGTATTTGTCTTCTGTCTCTGTTTTAATCCCTGGATGATGACATCTGGAGCAGACTGCATCCAACCCGTCAGATTCTGCTGAAAGTGCGTTTTTGGAGGGAAAGAGGAAGACTACATTTTTTAAAGTAGGGTTTATGCCCTTCTGGTCCACAGCCACTTTTACCAGTTGATAGCATGGCTTTGACTACACTGACAGTAATTTTGCAGCAGACAGGACTTGACTTGTCAGCTACCTTGGACATAGAAAAAAGGATCTTGTACTAGAATGACAAGTTAAAAAATTTCAGGTGCTACTAGAAAAGAATAAAGGGGACTTCTTCCACTCCAGACAGAGACCAGTAAAAAGCTCAACTGTCCTCTGGAAATCTAAGGCTTCAACTGTTTTTTTTAAACACGTTCACAGCCATGCTATCAAACAAAAATCATAATTCTTCTCTCAAGAGTCTAAGCAGCTCTTGCAGCTGATGCAAGAGCCGGGTTAAAAGACCAGGCAGGTGCAGAGTATGTCACCTTAGAGGGGAGTGAAATGAAAGACCCAACACTGAACCGGATTCTCACCCAAAGCACTTATGGCCTCAGCAACCTACCACCCCCAGTTACACCTTGGGCCATCAGCACCAAACTTCCTTTAGTCAGAAAGTCCTTACAACAGAAGATTTAATTAAGTCCTCAAGATTTGGAATTCCTCTTAAGATGGCTCTTAAGAGTCTACTACCCTCACCTCTTTCTACAAGGGATGCATTTAACTGAGTGCTGTCCCAGCCCAGCAGTGATTTATCCCAGCTCTGCCTGGATGTTTTCTGGAAGCAAACTCCTTCATGCTGTATTATTCTCAGCTGACCTTGTTCTTAGGCATTACCTCCTCTGAACAGAGACAGTAAGAAACTGCCCGCAAATCAGACTAAACAACCAACCATTTATTGTTAGGCAGTGTTGATACCATCCATGGTCAGCCCAAGGTTTGAAAATAAAGTAGCTCAGCTTTCCTAATAGGCTCATGCGTTCAGATGACTACAAATGTCTCCTCCTGTGGATGTAACTGAAATACAGCTGGTTTCAAGAAACAGGAATTACAGATGAATTGTAAAAATGAGTGGGACAACTGTGGAAGCCAGTGTGAGGGGCCGAAAACTGTAAGCCTCAGGGTGTTCAGCACCATATAAAAGCAGGTTCTCATGTGGCCTGAACAAATGCCACACAAGAGACCAAGTTGCATCTTCAGGCAGCTTATTTCAGGAAGGCAACTGCTTTGCAATCCATCCTGTTCACAGGCCTTTACTGGAAAAAAATATACACAGTGTATGACAACCTGCCTTAGAGCAAGAACTCACAGCTAATTCACACCGATACAAACTACCAACAGGAACAGGAATTGACTGCGTAAGTACTGTAAACACAGGCACATAAATATGAATCAATTTTTGTTTAATGACATGACACATCGTACATATCATGTACTTCACTACATACACACCAAACTGAGTGTTTGGCTTCAGGATTTTAGAACTTGACTGCTTTATTTTCTGATTTCTTTATATTACCTTGACCTTCAGCTACTCACAGAACTACTTAATCTGATAAATCAGCTAGCTAAAGGCCAACTATTTAATTTGATAAATTAGCTAACAGAATGAAGACACCACATTTGCTGTACTGATATCGGGTTTACGCTGCTACAGGGACTGCAGCTTGTTGTACAGATGACTTCTTTCAATAACAAAGCTGGTGGCCTTGAAAAAAAGAAAAGTTTCTTTGGAAGGCACATTCTGCTTCATGTTTTCATGTTGCTGATAATACTGTTTTTCTCTGACAATGTTTATGAATATCCAATTAGGTTTCAGCACGCCATTTCATGGTGACTTGACAAGAGTCACTTGGTGACTGTGGAAGAGCCATGTGAAGCTATTCAGAATCTGTGCTTTTCAGACAACAGCAATTGTGGAGTATCATGTTTCCACTTAAGTACCAGTCTTTACGCCAAACCTACTGAAGCGTTATTGTAAATGGGTCACATCGACCTTTCCCTCTTTCTGAGCTGGCTGCTGTACACAGGGAAATGCAATATCCAGTCTTGCTTGTGACCAGTTAATCTTTGGACAACTGACCCTTATTAGCTTTCTCTGGGAGCAATCTGAAGTCCGCGTGGTAGGACTGGATAGAGGGGGTTATAAGGCAGCCTATTTCACTACTTGAAAGGCACTGGACATCAAAACAAGGACCAGATCCATCAGATGACTAAATCAACACCTAAAAGGGTAGGAAGAGATGTCAAAAACAGAGTAAGTGTAAATCAAGCCTTTTAAAAATAAAAAAAAAAAAAAAAAAAAAGTGAAATCAAAGAAGTTTGATATGGACTTTTATCTACATTTTTATTACAGTGAGATGCACAAAATACGAGCAAATTGAGGAAAATGTAATGAACATTGCCTGATAACATTCTTAGACATTTCATGCATGCTTTTGAAGACTGCCTTGTCTTGACTTTTAAATACCTCTGGGACACGAATTGTAATTACAACAGATTTAGGAATTTGCCAAGACTCCTCTGAGAAACTGTCATTTGAGAAACATGTTTGTAAGAATTCATCAGAGTACTTGAACAAGGTGCTTGCTCAGTAAACAAATACTAAATAATTTTGCTATCACTTTCCTTTCTAGACCTTTCAAAACAGATTTTAATTATTGTGTTATAAAATTAATCCATATGCTTAGTTAGAATAGAACACACTACTATTTCTCCTACAGCATATTTCCCTTTCCTGAATAATAAATTAATCCTTAATGAAATAAATCTTGCAGGACAAATCTGCATATAATATTTTAAAGAAGAAATTTGCATTATGAGTTTGTAAAAGCTCTTTAAAAGTCAATTTAAGTCTTATCTTTTATGTACAGCTTAAAGATGACAAAGAGTAGACTGCAAAAATAGGAAGGTCATCATTAAAATCTAAAGTAACCAAGAATTAGTTTCTTTAGTACTGGATATAAGAAGCTATTTTTTTTCCTAAGAATTGCTCCACCACTTAAAAAAAAAAAAAGCTTTTCTACTGATTGTTAAACACTTGTTAGCACTGAGATACTACGTCTGTGGGTTATAGAGAGACAGTCGCTGGTAAACATTTACTTTAATACATTAAAGTCAATGGCATTAGATTAGTGATGCCAGCTCACATAAACTGTAAAGAAAAAGACAAAAGCTTAGCATTGCTATTTTCAGCACAAGTTTGAAACGCATGCAATAGGACTAAACTTGCCTTGCATTCCAGTCTTTCCTTGGTACCTTGCACAAACACAAACTAACAGGGGCCCTTCATATACAACTTGGCACACTGGCATTTCCATCTCAGAAATGCAAGGTCATTGCTGGAGAGGACATGTATGCTGTCACAGAACCACTACTGGTGGGAAGGCAGCGGCACCAGCTTCAGGCAGCACAAATAGCCCGGAACGTTCTCATCTACTAACAGGCTGATCCAAGGTTGACTGAAGTCAGTGAGGAGTCTCACCCTTGAAACTTCTCCCTCAACCCAAGTGTAATCAGCTGACTTCAAAGGTTTACAGTCAAATTAAAAGTATGCTTTTTTTTTTTTTAATTCTAGTTTTTTTTCTTTTTTAAAAAAGAATGCTACAGTTGATATATGTCCACTAGGCCCCACAGTACAGAACCTGTTAAAGTTTAAATCTTTCACACCTCATTCAAGTGCCTTCCTTATATTTTTAAATGATTTGCAAATACCACACATCAATACCCACCTGTGTTATCAAAGGTATTTTTATTTGATTTAGATAAGACTATGTCTGGGCTAGTAACTTTCTATTCTATATAAATACAAGGCAGATCTAACAGTT